AAAATGAAAAATTTTCATCTAGAATTTATCGACAGGAATTAGTTTAATTTTGTTACTCGGGAGGTTTCCGAGGTCGCTGAGCACGAATATGGTAACGACGATGGTCCTCGTGCTACCTGGTACCCAGGGTGGACCTCGTCTCCTGAAGTTTTATGTTATTTTCATTCGAAATCAGTCGAAAGTCATTATCATCATCATAAGTGGCTCGATAATCAGTTATGGATCTTGGCCTGCTCACAGAAAAGTCGCCACTCCTGTCGATTCCTGGTAACTTCCCTCTATCTTCTAACCCTTAGAATCTGTAGGTCTTCTTCAACATCATCAATCCATCTCATTCGTGGTCGTCCTCTGCTTTTAGTGCCCTCTGATTTTGAAAATGTTAATCCCTTCGTGTATTCGTGATCTGACATCCTAGCAATGTGTTCAGCCTATCTAAGTCTCTGCACTTTAACGAATTTCACAATATCTGGATCGGTGTATAAGTGATATAGTTCAAAGTTGTATATTCGACTCCATAACCCATTTTCATTTACGGCCCCAAAAATCTTTCTAAGAATTTTTCTCTCAAAAATACCAAGAAGTCTTTCATAATTTTGAGATAAGGTCCACGTTTCAGCCTCATATATCAAAACCGGTCCTATTAAGATCCAGTATATATTAAGCTTTACTGCACGTTTTATATTTTATTTTTTAAATGTTTCTGGAGACCATGAACAGTTCTGTTTGCTATTGCTATGCGTCCTTCTATTTCGTCGCTTGTCATGTTTGTTGCGTTTACTAGCGATCCAAGATATGTAAATTCTTTGACTTGCTCAAAGGTATGATTGTTAATTTGAATTCTCTGTTGAATATTTCGAGGGTTTTTAGAAACCAAAATATATTTGGTTTTTTCCTCGTTTACCACAAGTCCTAATTCACTTGCTGCGTCCACAAGCTTTGTAAAACACTGCACTGTGTCTCTCATACTTCTGCCCACTATAACTATATCGTAAGCGAATGCGACAATTTGCGTCGAACCATTAAAAATAGTTCGGTCATTCTAATATTTAATTGTCTGATTGCCTTTTCCAAGGCAATATTAAAGAGAAGACACGCCAACGCGTCCCCTGTCTTAGACCATTATTAATGTCAAAGAACGTAGAGTTTTCTCTTTCAATTCTAACGCATGAGCTTACGTTTGTATTGTTAGTTGCAATCAGTTAACCATCATAGGATGGTTTGAAGTCAATGAAGAGATGGTGTGTATCTATCGTTGCCGTTAATGCAAAATGTCATATGTTAAAAGCACTTTTCAGGAGGCAAAAAAAAACTGAATAATATTTACTGTGCGAGTAGTGTTTTTCTTCAAATTAGACGATATACTTAAATACAAAGGAGAATGCATATGTATTTCTTCTAAGTTGGAGAAAAACACTACTCACACAGTAAATGAGAGGCGAAAAATCTGAATTACTTCAAGTTATACTGGAAGGAAAAGTACAGGGCAAAAGATCAGTAGGAAGACGCCAGAACTCATGGCTAAAAGACCTGAGGAGATGGTTCGACCGCTCATCCACAAAAATCTTTCGCGCAGAGTTTCCAAAACCACAATTGCCATTTGGATCGCCAACCTTCGGAAGGAGACGGCGCCATGCGAAGAAGACACAGTTAATATTATTCAGTTTTTTTTTGCCTCCTGAAAAGTGCATTTTTTAACATATGACATTTTGCATTAACGTCAACGCTATGTTATATTCTAGTGACTTTTCTAGAATCTGCCAATGTGCTTGAATTTGATGTGTAGTTGAGTTTCCAGCAGTAAATTCGCATTGATATTGACCAACAATATCCTTTGCAAAATGTTTAAGTCTTTCAAATAATACATTGCCGAAGATTTTATAGGCAGATGCTAATAGAGTAATGCCTTTATAGTTCTTACACTCCAGTTGATCACCCTTTTTATGCAACGGACATATTATTCACTTCAGCCACTCTTCTGGTACCCATTCGTTCTGCTATATAAGTACTATTAGTTTATGGATTGCTGCAAAAAGTTGATCACCACCTTTTTTATACATTTCCGAAAAGATTTAATTGATTCCTGGATTCCTGGAAATAGGATCGCACTTGACACTTCTTCTCTTGTTGGGTCTTCACTGTGTAGTTGACGTTGTAAATTTTGTTGATTTTCTATGTTGTAATCTACGTCAATATCGTTTATATTGAGATGTTTGCTGAAATGTTGTTCCCATCTGTTAAGAACTCATGTAGAATTTCACCATTAGTGTCTTTACAAATGTTTAATCGTGGTTTAAATTCTCGACTGCTAGTATTTAATAATTTATAGTATTTCCTAGTTTCATTTTTATCGAATAAACTTTGTATCACACTGAGAATGTTCATATTCCCTCTTCTTACGTCGATGGATACGTTTTTCCTCTCTTCTAAGACGTCTATAATCTTCTCTTTTTCTCCGTTTACAACCTACGTCAATGGTTTTTTGATATGCTACCAATGATTTCTTTTTTCTGACTTGGTTTTGCCCAATATTTCAACGGGTTTCTGTAACACAATATCTCGTATATTTGCCCATATTGGTAAATATCTTCTTCTTCTTCCAAGTTTTTTGTCCTTATTTGGTCTTCTATTTGCTGTCTGTATACATTTGCAATGTCGGGATCTTTTAGTTTATTAACGTAGATTTTTTCTCTCCTTCTCCCGGTCTCCTTTTTTAAATTGGATATTCTTTCTTTAAATCGTGCTTTAACTAGATAATGATCACTATCTGTGTTTGCTCCTCTAAAAGACCTATCATCTAATAAGTTAGAGCAGTGTCTTGCATCGATGATTATATGATCTATTTGGTTAATCGTTTCATTATCAGGAGATTTCCAAGTTCCCTTATATGTACATCTTTATGGGGAAATCGTGTCCCAGCTATTACCATGTTCTTAGACACCGCAAAGTGTATGATTCTGAGACCGTTATCATTAGAGTCTACTTGTAGACTCTCTTTTCCGATGGTGGGCAGAAATATATTCTCTCTTTCGACTTTATCATTAAAGTCTCCTGCTATTATTTTGATGTCATTTTTTTTGGCACTTATCGTACTCTCGGTCTAGTGCCTCATAGAACATGTCTTTTTCATTATCCTCTTTTTCTTCCATTAAAACATGGATGCTAATAATGCTAATATTAGCGAACTTCCCTTTAAGTCTTATTTGACATATCCTATAATCAATAGCTTTGAAATCGATTACACTATGTTTGACCTTGCTGCTATGTAGTAAATATTGCAGATATTTTTTTCCAGGATGCCTGATCTAATCCACCTTATTTCCTGTCAATCAATAATATTTGACTTGGCATTATTCATTTCTCGTATGAGGAGAGCCGTGGCTCCAGGTTGATACACGCTTCTTACGTTCCACGTGCAAATTTTTAAATCATTATCCTTATTTCGTTTGCGAGTTCGTCGTAGGTTAGACAGCCCGGTTTCTTTTTATATAGGTCTCATAACAAAAGGTTTTTTACAGGGTTTTTACCCCCTTTTCGGTGGGCCATTTCACCCGCTCTCGTCAGTTCCCGACCCAACTTTCCACCCGAGTTGGATACCGAATCTCCAGTTGGGTCGCTCGGTTTACAGGGGACATCAGCGTGAAGGTGAGAGTCAGATTTGAGTAGAAGAGGCTAATTGGAGTAAACTGAAATCAACCCCATGTTTTCGAATTCTATCCCTTTATCCCCCAGTCGAAGGTCATTACTTGGAAGGTTTTCGAGACTGCGTAACACAATTATTATGATGGTTATGATCCTCGAGTTACCTGATGCCCAGGTTGAACCTAGTCTTCTGAAGCATGATGTTATTTTTATTCGAAATCAGTCATTACTCGGGGGGTTTTCGAGGTCGATTAATACGAATATTAGACAGCGATGATATTCGGGCTACCTAGAGCCCAGTGTGGACCTTTTCTCCAGAAGTTTTATATTATTTTTATTCAAAATTAGTAAAGTTATTACTTGAGGGTTTTTAGGGTTGCTGATCACGAATATTACGTCCCACCCTCCAAGGTGTTTGGTGTTCAGCCTCATTCTCCTGAAGTTTCTTTGTAAATTTGTTATTTGCGATTTTATTGGCATAAAACTCCAGAAGACAAGGTCACCCTGGGCATCAGATACTTTTGAGACCAACGCCCTGGTAATATTCGTGTTAACAACCCCGAGTAATGAATTTTGTCTGATTTTGAATGAAAATAACGTAAAACTCAGGAGAACAAGTACACCCTTCACCTGGTACCTCGACAACTATCGCCGTCATAATATTCTTTGACTGATTTTGAATGAAAATAAGATAAAACTCCAGGAGACTTCCACCCTGGGCACGCGTAACCTCAAAAACCTCAGGATAAAGACTGTCGACTGATTTGGAATGAAATTAACATACTCTAGGAGACGGGGTATATTCTAGGCACCAGGTTGCTCAAGGACCATTATATTCGTATTCAACCACCTGGAAAACACTCGTGTAACAAAATTGAATTCATTCCTGTTCATATTTTCTGAGTTGCAAATTTTTGATTTTCTATGTACTTTTGAAATGCATTTTCCTCATGCACAAATTGCAATTTTCATTTTACCACCAAAAAATTTTATTCACAAACTTTTCTGACACTTTCCGGAATCGAATGCAAAAAGTTGCACAGCAATTCATTCAGCTGCGGAAAATTGATAGGTTTAGTGCTTCATTTCCTCGCCTATAAGCAAATGCAAATAAATGTAGAGCAAATGTAGATAGTAGGTCATCCTGAAAATAAATGTGAGGAAGAAGTAAACGTTAGGTGTAAAAGTGTGACGATCTTAAAGATCCATACTGCAACGAGATGGAAGTTAACATCATTGGATAGAGGACTAATTTGTGCAAAGCTTTATTGATCTTTGTCTATATTGGAAAAAAAATTTAATGGAAAATATTTGTTTTTATAAATTTCTATTGTATAAAATTATTATTATTTTGGTTTTAGGGATTACGTGTGTGTTTAAAGGTAGAGAATATACACACTGGGATGTACAACGGTCAAGAAATAGTGTTAAGTTCGTCGGAAAAAATGACTTTGTGTCTCAAGAACGACGGTTTGCCCATGCTGGTAAGCAATTAATTACCAGTCTTACTGGTAGATTTTATTTTGCTATATTTCTTAATGTTATTTCTTTACGGTGTTGTGGCATTCTAGGGACACTACCAGCAAGAACCTACAAATACCAATTTGTGTTTAATTTACCAGATCGTCAGCTTCCTTCATCATTTGATCACGATTGTGCGGCAATACAATATTTTATCAAAGCCAAAGTCGATAGACCAATAGGATTTGATTACAAAGATTCTGTCAGTTTGCACGTGGCCTCGCCCGTTGACTTGAATGACTTTGTCGACCAAATATCTATGGTAAGACGAAAAGCAATTCTTATTTTTATACTAAACCGTTTGCATAGAATAAATTAGAACAAGTTATTAGGATATTGGCATTATATTGGTAGGTCATTAGGTTACATGCTGGACTCTTTATATTATGTACAACTTTTGTTTTTAAGTTTGTGTACAAATATACAGCGTCAGCCATAACACTGTACCGCATGCAAGATATGTTTTTTTAAATGACACACCCTGTATTTTATTTTAAATTTAAAATCCGCTTCACTTCCTCTTTATAAGAATAAAAAGTTGTTTTGTGTTATACAGGGTATTTTAAAAAGTTAAAAACATAACTAAATTTCAATAAAAATCGTAACAAGTTCCTGCCCTGTGCAATTAAAATGGCAACAACCTGTTGTAGCTGTGGTTTTTAAGTGATTGCCAAAATTCATAAAAATGATTGATTTTGCTAATACTCTTTAAATCTAAGGGTGAGCGCCACCAAACTGGCATGGCAAGTGGCAAGTAGCAAGTAGCACGCGTCTAACATGTTACTTAAAATGTAACCAATGAAAACGAATGATTCAGCGCACGCCAAAATGACAGTGACGTCATTCATTCTAATCATTCGTTTGCATTGGTTATATTTTAAATAACATGCTAGACGCGTGCTACTTGCTACTTGCCACTTGCCATGCTAGTTTGGTGGGTGCTTTCACTAATACAGGGTAAGTCAAAACTCAAACTCATTATTTGCTCAAAAGTTTTAAATCGCATCACCCTGTGGCATAAACTTAGTTTATGGTTTGTATTTTGAGAACGATTTCCGAAGTGGAAATTGAAACGTCAATAAACTTAGTTTATGTCACAGTGTGATATGTATGCCTGGTGTAGTTTGGTCAATGTACTTAAATTTACCCTAATATTATTTTCTATACATATACTTATTAGTTTTGAAGATTTAAATTTTAGTGGAAAATTGTTCATTTCATGAATAAAATTTATTATTTTTATTTACTTTACTATTTACAAATATCTTAAAGCAACACAAAAAAAGTAAAAAAAAATAAAATAAAACATTTGGTATTTTGATTGTAGAAGATGTCCGAAAGGAGTTCCTATATGATTAAAGCCAAGATTACTTTCAATTAGTCTAAACCCAAAAATAAGAAGGGGACCAAACTAATCAAAGTAACGTAAAATAGGTGTATAAATATACAATAATAAACTCTAATGAAGCACTTCCAGGATTTTTAAAAAACTAATTTTTAAATGGGGGTTTTGTGAATTTAGTTACATTTATTAAAATAACTGTGACGCTATGACACTATTTCTCTGATTTTTGTTTTCCCAGATAACGATAACTATAATTTTTTTTATACAGAGGCCCCTTAGAAATCAGCTAGAAGAATTCCCATCGTGTTGTTTCTTCACCAGTGAGCCTCTTCTTTTAGATTTTACTATTAATAAGGATGCCTTTGTTGTAGGAGAAACTATTTTCGTAAAAATAAATGTAAATAATACATCTAGTTTGCATGTTTCAGAAGTCAAATTGTCACTTATACAGGTAAGCAAATTTTTAGTATTATAAAATTAAGTTAATAATAATTTAAATAACCCAGGGTTATCCAGACTTATCTAATACCTAAGGATCAAAATAACACTCAAGTTCCAGCCAACTACCGCCCAATCGCTTGTCTTCCAACTTTGTACAAATTATTCACACCCTGTGTAGCTTAGCGTATCTATAAACAACACATACCAACAATGTGCTCCAAACAACAAAAAAGGATGCGCTGGGCTGTAAAGAACAACTTATAATCGAGTCAGTAATTTCTAACCAGGCATACAAAAAATGAACCTTTTTACTGCCTTCATTGACTACCAAAAGGCCTTTGATTTAGTTCCGCATGAATGGCTTATAGATAGATTGAAAATATATATAGTCGATGATAATATAGTGACCTTTTTAAAGCATATAATGACGGAGTGGAACACTAAAATTTATTTTCAAATACCCGGTGAAAACAACATCGAAACTGAAGATATCCCAATTAATCAGGGCGTTTTTCATAGGGACTCGTTGAACCCACTTTAGTTCTGTTTGGCGATTAACCCACTATCTCAGCTTCTGAACTCCAGTGAATTAGGTTTTAGCATCAAAAATAACAATACTGTTGTAGCGAAGCTTCTTCATCTGTTGTATATGGATAATTTGAAATTAAAAGCTGATAGTCAAAACCACCTGGATCAGATGTTAAAAACGGTGGAAACATTCTCAAGTGATATCAGTATGCACTTTGGTTTAGATAAGTGGTGTGTTCTAAATATAGTCAGAGGAAAGGTTCAGCCTGGTGGTTATGATATGCAATATGCCAAATATCAAAGCGATGGGTGAAAATGAGGCAATGAATAAACACAAATATCTCTGAGTAAAGCAAGCGTGGAAGATAAACATAAACAAATAAAAACTGAACTGAAACCATCCACGCAGTGCAGTAGAGAGAACATTACGGCAGTATTAAGGGGGAACAGAACTTATGGACATACGTGAACAACTGAGTAAACAGGTTGCTAATTTAAGAACCTAGTAGATGACAAAACACCGCTCAAACTGAGGGATATAAAAAATGCGCATAAACCACCTAACTAAGCAAGAAAAAATCTGCAGGTCCAAATCAACAAATGTCTATAACGTTGTGAGCACATACTTTCTAGTGTGTAGGTCTAAGTCTATGCCTAGTAAGCTAACTGAAAATAGGTTTTCTTTTTCATTCACCATTGTTTACACCACACCGCACGATTTTTTATTCGGGATTTCGTACAAGCATGCTTGTACGTGTGATGCCAAAGGCAAATTGTGCATACTTGTACAAAAATATTGAACAAGCATCCTGGACAAGCTTGCAGTTGTGTCTGTAGCCGCCTTAACTCATGTCTCCAAAATCTTCCCACTTTCAGTGGTTCGAGCACAGAGATGTAAAAAAAATGTTTGGGATTTACCCTTACCCCTTAGGGGTATGAAAAATGGATTACGACCGATTCTAAGACCTACCGAATATACATATAAAATTTTATAAAAAACGGTGGAGCCAATTAGCAGGAATATAGCAACTAACTCTGTGACTTTTATGATAATTAAAAAATAAGGTTTAGTAATAGAAGGGTGAAAATCAGGGGCTAGTGCCACATCACAAAAAAATAAAAATAAAAAAATTTATACAAAAAATTTTAAAACATGTTTGGGATGAACCATCACCTTACGGGTATGAAAAATAGGTTACGACCTATAAGATGTATCGAACTTTGTGAAATTAATATGACAATTAAAAAATACAAACAAGATATCATGGCATAGGGCACTATGGATGAAATTTACTTATGACAAATTTTAATTTATTGACTTGACGAAAGCCTCTGGTCGAGTACGAAAAAAATAACTGATCGAATCCTCACACCCGACATACTAAATGAAAGGCGAGAATATACAGAATATATTAAGATAAAAAGAACAAACAAGGCGACTACCAAAACGGCACTAAACAGCGTCTTCGTTATTAATGAACATAAAATATAGTTACATACGATATATAAGATGGCACTATGAATGTTAACAGATTTACTATAAGACAAATTTTGATTTATTAACTTAAAGAGGGCATCTGACTGACTACAAAATATTCATAATTAATTATATAAAATTAATATCAATCTTTTTACATTGAAAATGTTATCTCGCCGTAGAAAAATATGTCGCGAGTTGAATGCTTTTTCCCCATCCAAAAAAAGTGTTACCTATATATATTATATATATATATATATAATATATATATATATATATATATCGGAAAAAGGAGTACGACCGTCAATCCAATATATATAAGGATCACTCAGACGAGTGGTGGGTTCTTATATCGGTCTCTAGGTGGAGAAATAAAAGACAAAGTTGATAGGCTACTTTATCTATTTTGAAGACGTTTCGCTTTCGAGTTTTGAAAGCATCATCAGTTCATCTAAAAAAGTACAATATGAGAACCACACAATCATGGAAACGATGTTAATTGTTACCTTAAAAAGACATGTAGCAGTCAATGTTATTAACAATAATGTGAATGAAACTTAAGTAAATGGACATAATACGCTGATCTTGTATAAACAATTAAGTAACTAACAACATATATGAACTTATAAAATTAGCACAGCAAATGACCATGTGGTCTAAAGTAAATTAAATGTTATTTAATGTTAATAAGTGAGCAAGAACCAAGAAAATCGTAGATAACTTCCAACTATTTTATGATTATTAAGCTTTGATTTTAACTTTAGGTAGCATTATAAGTGATATTAATAAAAAATTATAAAAGTAGTGTAAATGAAGTTACCGATCAAAGCCCTACAAGTGTCGCCGGAAAAAATGGCGTTAGATGAACCGGAACGAACTAAACCGCGAAAAGGCAGCCAACCTTGAGGTCAAAATACTTTTGACAGATCAGCAAGGTGGAAGTACCAACCCAAATAATTGGGCGGTCAATTTAAAAGTTTAAATGAGTTTGGATGACTACCCGGTTGTAAAAGACAAAACAGTGAAAGAAACTGGTATTGTAATAGGAACTCCTCTCACTAATCAGCCTAGATTTACAAACAGGAGATTTTCATTCAACCTCATATGTATGTAATAACGTTAATCATTATGGCTAGTTAATCAGCCACAGGTGGTTAACGACACATTAATTTCCAACAGCCCAAAGTTCATGTACTTGAAACTGTAATTTGCAAAGGATTCTATGAATACTGATCTTGAGAATACTACCACCCATTATTCTTCTTAACCTTATTTCCCTCAAGTTACTAAGAAGCTTATTAAATTGTATAAACAAAATAATATACCGGTTAAAATTGCTGTTAAGAATTAACAGCTTCTCATTACTTTCCCAGTAACTTGAGGGAAATAAGGTTAAGAAGAATAATGGGTGGTAGTATTCTCAAGATCAGTATTCATAGAATCCTTTGCAAATTACAGTTTCAAGTACATGCACCTTGGGCTGTTGGAAATTAATGTATCGTTAACCACCTGTGGCTGATTAACTAGCCATAATGATTAACGTTATTACATACATATGAGGTTGAATGAAAATCTCCTGTTTGTAAATCTAGGCTGATTAGTTAGAGGAGTTGCTATTACAATACCAGTTTCATTCACTGTTTTGTCTTTTACAACGGGTAGTCATCCAAACTCATTTAAACTTTTAAATTGACCGCCCAATTATTTGGGTTGGTACCTCCACCTTGCTGATCTGTCAAAAGTATTTTGACCTCAAGGTTGGCTGTCTTTTCGCGGTTTAGTTCGTTCCGGTTCATCTAACGGCATTTTTCGGCGACACTTGTAGGGCTTTGATCGGTAACTTCATTTACACTACTTTTATATTTTTTATTAATATCACTTATAATGCTAACTAAAGTTGAAATCAAAGCTTAATAATCATAAAATAGTTGAAAGTTATCTATGATTTTCTTGGTTCTTGCTCACTTATTAAACATTAAATAACATTTAATTTACTTTAGACCACATGGTCATTTGCTGTGCTAATTTTATAAGTTCATATGTTGTTAGTTACTTAATTGTTTATACAAGATCAGCGTATTATGTCCATTTACTTAAGTTTCATTCACATTATTGTTAATAACATTGACTGCTACATGTCTTTTTAAGGTAACAATTAACATCGTTTCCATGATTGTGTGGTTCTCATATTGTACTTTTTTAGATGAACTGACATATACTGTTGAAGTGAAAACTTCTTTAGCGACGTTGTGCACTTAAACGGACTTAATTTATTTTTCATTTTACTGATAATTTTAATTTCATTGTTACCATAATTATAATAATTTCAACGCAATTTAAGAAGTTTTCACTTCTGTCGGCAATGCCCCGAGTGAAATATCTTCTTGTTTTATCTATATATCTATCTAATCATCCTTAGACGCCCACTCTTGGGCATAGGCCTCCCCTGTTAATCTCTATTGGTCTCTATTTTGGGCGATCTGCATCCAGTCCTTTCCTGCCGTTCTCTTAAGATCGCCAGTCCATCTCATCTGTGATCTTCTCTTTTTCTTTTCTTTTCCCATGGTCTCCAGTGTAGAATTCGCTTATTCCATCTTTCATCTTTTTGCCGAGAGAGTGTGACCGGCGAAGTTCCATTTAAGTTTTGCAACCTGTCTTGATACATCGTTCACCTTTGTTTTTTCTCTGATCATGAGTTTCTTTTCCTGTCTTTAAGACCGATACTCAGCATCTGTCTTTCCATTGCTCTTTGTGTTTTGGATATCCTGTCGATGTTTTCCTTTGTGAAAGTCATGTTTGTGAGCCATATGTGATAACTGGTAAAATGCACTGGTTGAATACTTTCGTTCGCATATATTGAGGGACATTTTTATTTTTTAGAATATATGATAGTTTACCAAATGAGGCCCATGCTAGTCTAGTTCTTCTTTTTATTTCTTCTGTTTGATTGTCCCTGTTCAGCTTTATTATCTGTCCTAGGTATATGTATTCTGCCACCTGCTCTAATTTATTCTGTTTGACTTACATTTCCAAAATAGGAATGAAAAAAAAAATAGCAATTTAGAATATAATTTCACAATATATATTATATTTCTTAAAAATACCTTTCTTGATTATTTCTAAATTCTTTTCTAGTAATTATGCAACCTACAATTCATTCACGAAAATTTCATTAGGGCGTATACCTTATACATAGATATAATTATCACAATGAGTACTTGTGTAGTTAGTGTATGGAACAAGTTTTAGTTTTAATAAAATATATAATTATTACGTTTAATACAATGGCTTAATTTTTGTGTTTAGCGTTTAAATCTTAAGGTGGAGAATCCCGACATACGAGAACGAGAAGAAAATGAGGTAATAAATCAGGTGCGCGCATTGGGAGTCGAAGCGCATAGTGAAAAGGAGTATTTTCTTCAACTAAAAATACCACAGGACTTACTGGTTCCTTTATTTCTAAATTGTCGTTTAATAAAGCAGTCTTGGGTTGTAAGGGTACGTATATACTTACATGTTAAAAATATTATTTATTATTTTTCTTCCTACATACTTGCTAGACTTGCTGTTCCATCTTCAGAAGCCTTTTATGTACAGATTATCACTCTATCTTTTTCCTGAGCTGGAAGTCGTTTCTGTCGTTTTTCCTGGTCGTTAGACCATTTATACAATGCGTGAAAGAAGGAACTGAACAGGAAGATCCGAGCCGAGAAGAAGATTCACTGGAGAGAATTGTGTGACAAGTTGGATGAGGACGTTTGGGGTCAGGGGTAAAAAATCGTAATGAACCAGTTCAAGCTGTACCCTCTGTATGAGATGCCACTGGACAGGAAGCTTGAGGTTACCCGATTACTATTTCCACCCGGCCATTGGCATGGAGTGCAGTGGGACGTCGAAGCTGAACGAGCTGTACCTTTTACCGTAGACGAACTCAACGAAGCGTTGAGTGCCCTAAAGACACGAAAGGTTCCGGGATTCGATGGAATACCACCAGAAGCGGTGAAACGCATTGACAGTATGGAGCCGACGTGGCTTTTGGACCACATGAATGTACTGCTTGAAACGACCTGTTTGCCTTCTGTCGTGCATACTTAAATTATAAGAGAGGCTCTTAAGAAGACAAATAGAGACTAGTAACTGAAGAGTCAGAAGAGTTTCAGAAAGAACAGGAGAACGGTGGATGCGCTGATGGATGTCTTCCAGGAGTTACGCGGGGAGGGAGTTAACCAGAGGTGGGCAATCCTACTGTTGTTTGATGCCCGGAATGCTTTCAACACATTAAAATGGAAAGAGGTAATAAAGGCTTTACGAGAGAGAAGGTTTCCGAGGTACTTGATGAATTTGGTCTCCGACTATTTGTCACAGAGAAAAATTATGGTAGGAAAAGGAATAGTGGTTGACGTGACGGCTGGACTGCCGCAGGGGTCGGTCCTAGGATCCACGTTGTGGAACTTGGCATATGACGGGGTTGTGAGCCAACAATACGGGGAGGGTGTAACTCCAGTCGCATTGGCGGACGACCTCGCTATGCTGGTAGTGGCGCGGGACAGGGAGGACCTTATCTTTGGTGCACAGCGTACATGCAACCAAGTTGAGGAATTGATGAAAATGCATGAGCTAGAACTGGCTGCGGGTGAGACCGACGCTATAATTCTCAAGGGACCAAGGAAAAGGAACGAGATAGCATTTGAATATGCAGGAAAGAGAGTGGTTCCAAAGAAATGCGTGAGGTATTTAGGGGTGGAAAGTGGGAGGAGCACGTAAAAGCGGTGACTCAAAGAGCTGCGATGAGATCTACCGCATTGGGAGGGAGCATGCCCAACATCGGCGGGCCCAAACCTGTGAGGAAAAGGGCCCTTCATTCTGTTGTGCAATCGATCGTCCTCTACGCTGCGCTTGTCTGGAGTTCTGCAGTTTTAACAAAGGCGTACAGAAAACAGCTCACCCGAGCAGATAGGAAGAGTCTATTTAGGGTGGCGTGTGCATACAAAACGGTCTCTGTCGATGCGTTAGGAGTTATCACTGGGTGTATTCCGATACACGTGCTAGTGAAGGAAAAAGGAAAAATATACGAGAGACATATCAAATAAAGACAGCAACAGAACGTTTAAAGAAAGAAGAAAGGGAAAGGTCCATAATGGGTGTGGCAAGAGGAATGGGATGAGATGAGAAGGGTGGCACAGTGGACCAAGTCGTTGATTCCTAATCTGAGAAGATGGATGGATTGCGGGCACCAGCGTTTGGATTATTTCCTGACGCAGATGCTCACAGGACATGGTTGCTTCAAGGCACACCTTTACAGATTCGGAAAGGCAGAAAATGACAAATGTCTCTATTATGAAATATCGGACACTGTCTCACACACTCTATTGGTATGCGACAGATGAATATTTGAGAGGAGCCGGCTTGAGAGAGAGCTAGGAAGTAGGGTGCAATCAATCACGGAACTGGTGGAGGAGATGCTTAGGTTGTCAGATCAGTGGAGAGTAGTTCAGAGATATGTAAGAAAAACATTGGAAAGAATGGAACAAGAAGAAAGGCGACCCGAAGGTAGGCAGGGTGCCCAGGACCAAACAATAAGATAAGACAGAATGAGAAGGGGTGAGATTCAACATGAATAGGGTGGAAAGGAGGGAGATAAGAATTCCGTCGTAGTGAGAAAGTGCTAGAATGCGTGAGAATGGAGAACATCACTGAGGGTGTTTTTTTAGCAGGTAGGTATCTGCCATTGACGGCGATGGTGTCCAAACAACCTTAGCACGCGGTCTCGGATATCATCATGACCACGCTGGAGGAATCCTGCATAACCGAGGCTGGAAGGCGATTCTGCCCACCTTCTAGGACCGAGGTATGTTTCGAACATTTGGATCACCCCCGTCCCTCATAAAAGAAGAAAAAAAAAAGGTTAGACCATTACCTGATATCTATATTTTCTTTGTATTTCTTATAGTGTTTTTGCTGTGATATGTCACTGTTTCCATTTTACACGTTTTCATTAATATTCTTATTTTCTTATAATCGAACTTACTGCTAGGTAGTTAACTTATAAATCGTGGCTATTATTTGTTATGCTTGATTCTATTTTAAGACTTCTTACTAATCTGTTGGTTTAAATTTATCTGTTAGAAAATTTCCACTTCTATATCTCCATAGCTATGATACAGCTATTTTTCTTTACAACTTTCCTCTTTACTTGTGTTATGAATTCCCTGTTAAAGGGGATTGCATGATGGTAGCCGTAGAACAAATCTCACCGTAGGATATTGTGTAGATGTGAATGTTTGTATATTAATTTTGTGATGCATTGCACAGAAATCTGGGGTACTATAGCCTAGGTTCTAAGTTATGGATGTACCGCCATACTTGATAGCATTTCATACCAACTCGTGGAAACACAATGAACACGGAGACAAAAAGAGATGATCCAGAATAGGGCTCAGAAATGAGTAAATCTTCACATTCAGCTCAGTAAAGCAGCGTCGGCAAAATCTACTTACTTACCTTTGATATAAAAGTCTTGTTGAAAGATGGTTCTAGTACACAAACTGTTAGGATATTGGGTCTAGTTGCTCCGTACTTTAACAATTTTGACAATTTATTTTCAATTTTGATCGGATCTGGAGATTTTCAAGGTTTCTGTTTCTTTTATGCTTCGTTGACCTTTCTTATGTTGACTATCAGCAGTGGCTGGTACATAATAACTGCGAAGTGGCTGGTATGTACATAATAACTAATACGCCAATAAGGTCTTTGCGACCTTACCAATTATATCTTTTTCATGTTTGCCCCAGGTTTATTATCTAGGATTTTTTATTTCTTAGACTTCTTTCATATATGAGATTGCACATTTTTTAACTTTCCAGGCCAAATTTACGTTTCAATCCTGTCAGAGTGATATAATCTGCGAATCCATTGTAAAATTGGGACATATTGCTATTGGTACAAGAGATATTGTCGCTGATTTACCATTATCCGGAGCAAGTAAGTATTTTAAATAGTATGTTAATGATGAATCCACTTTTTTGTCATTTTTAGATATTTCTTCCTCTTCTATCGATTGGATTCCTTCGGATGTTTTCGTAGAACAAGAGGGAACAACTGAGCTACTAGGTAAGATTTTATATAAAAAATTTCTAAAATAAAATTAATGGGAAAAACCCCGTAATTGGCTGTATACCATCGTTTAAAAAAAACACAGAAGTTAAAACACTTCACAAATGTGTATTTAGGTATAAAACAAACAAACAAGTTAAAACTTTTTAAAAAAGTGTCGTCACATTTAAAGTTCTGGCAGAACGTTTTCGATCACTACGGATCATCTTCAGTGCCTAGTATTTGTTGCTAACTATATAAATATGGTGTCTATAAGACTTCCATGTTTGAGTTGGTAAAGTGTCACATTTTACATTAGGTAATGTTGATACTGTAGGTCGATGACAATGGAAATTCCATTGTCATCGACTACAGTATCAACATTACCTAATGTAAAATGTGACACTTTACCAACTCAAACATGGAAGTCTTATAGACACCATATTTATATAGTTAGCAACAAATACTAGGCACTGAAGATGATCCGTAGTGATCGAAAACGTTCTGCCAGAACTTTAAATGTGACGACACTTTTTTAAAAAGTTTTAACTTGTTTGTTTGTTTTATACCTAAATACACATTTGTGAAGTGTTTTAACTTCTGTGTTTTTTTAAAAAATTTCTCTTTATTTTTCATTTCTCATCCATTTTTATTTTAAAATGCTGTCAAATGCAATTTTAGTGATTCTCTTATTAGGATGCCTGTCCGTTTCTTGCCTTGATTTCTTATTATATGTCCCCAGTACTGCGCTTACGGCCCTTTACAATGTTGACTAAATCCGCAGTTGTGTTCATCCGACGCAGTACTTCTTCATTGGTGACTTTGGCTGTGCATGGTATCTTCAGGATCCTTCTGTATAACCATAGCTCAAAAGTCTGAAGTTTTGATAGAGTTTCCGCCTTCAATGTCTACATTTCTAATCCGTACAATGGTTACTGAGTACACTTGAACACAGAGCTCATAGTCAAGAATGCACTTTTTGCCTTTCCGATGCGACATTTAATCTCTTGGGTGTTGTTCCACGACTCATTGATTATAGTTCCCAAGTAGTTGTACTGTGAGACACGTTCAATTTCTAATTTGGTTCACATGCAGATTTGCTCCAGTTATGTTTTCCTTGCTGATGATCATTAGATTGGTTTTGCTGGTGTTTATATCCAGTCCATAATATGTTCTACTTGTTTCCGTTATTTTGTTCATTAAGTTTTACAGCCCATACTATGGTATACATATATGGCATACTATTTCTATGGTATTGGAAAACACTATTGTATCATCTGCATACCGTAGGTTATTGAGCTTGACTCCATTTATTGAGATGCCTTTATCTTTTAGAGCGTCTTCAAGAATGTGCTCCGCGTACAGACTAAATATCAGTGGTGAAAGGTGAAACTATGCACCCCTGTCTCAATGCCCTTGAGATTTTGACCTGTATATTCTCCATCTGGTCAGTGGTCAGTGGTCAGTGGTGACCACTGACCATCTTTTAACAATTAGGACACTGATAGAGAAAGCTAACGAATATCATTTAGATCTGCATTTAGCATTCGTTGACTATGAGAAAGCTTTTGATAGTGTGGAAATGTGGGCAATAGAAAGAGCTATAAACAACTGTAGAATAGATTCCAGATACAGAATGCTAATACACATATATATAAGAAAGCAACAATGACAGTACAATTGGAAGAAAACACAAAACCTATACCAATTAACAGAGGAGTGCGACAGGGCGATGTTATTTCTCCTAAATTATTTACATTAGCACTGGAAGATGTTTTCAAAACAATGGAATGGACAAACATGGGAATAAACATAAATGGAAAGAAACTAAACCATCTAAGATATGCAGACGATGTAGTAATAATAACATCAAGTTTTGAAGAACTACAAACTATGCTAACCGAACTAGCCAAGGAATCTGAACAAATAGGCCTAAAAATGAATCTTACCAAAACGAAAACAATGACAAACACACAAGATAATAGAAACGTAATACTAAATGGAATCACAATAGAAGCGGTTAATGATTATATATATTTGGGACAGATAATAAAAATAAATAAGGAAAACCAAACAGCGGAGGTAAAAAGAAGAGTCAGATTAGCCTGGGCAGGATTTGGGAAATTAAAATGGGTCCTAAAGAATAAGAAAATACAACAGTACTTAAAAACAAGAGTGTTTGACCAGTGCATACTCCCAATTCTCACATACGCATGCCAAACATGGACTCTGACCAAAGCAAACATGGATAAGATAGTGAAGACACAAAGAGCCATGGAGAGAGCAATGTTGGGAGTAAAATTAAAAGACAAGAAGCAAAACATCTGGATAAGAAACAAAACAAAAGTCAAAGACGCAGGTCAACATATAGCCAGGCTAAAATGGAGTTTCGCAGGTCATAACGCCAGACAAACAGACAATAGGTGGAACAACACGATACAACATTGGAGACCATGGACAGGAAAGAGAGCAAGAGGACGACCCCAGATGAGATGGGGAGATGACATTAGAAAGATAGGAGGAATACACTGGAAACAGAAAGCACAAAACAGAAGCGAATGGAGGAAACTGGGGGAAGCCTATGTTCAAAATTGGACGAATTAAAGGGCAAAAGAAGAAGAAGAGATTCTCCATCTATTCGGAGCACCGCTGATTGATTCCAATACAGGTTAGCTACTATTTTTAGGTCTCTTTCGTCAATCCCTTTGATTCTTCAGCACTTCCATCTTTTGTTCATGCCTTATTCTATCGAATGCCTTCTTGTAGTCAATCAGGCATGCAAAATCATTACAGCTGACATCTCTACATTTCTGAAATAATACTTGCACACTAAATAAAGCTTCCCTCGTATCAACGGCGTTCACAAATCCAAACTGATTGGGCGCAATTGGTTCCTCGCATTTCTATAAAAATTCTTTTCTGGATGACTTTTAAAAACATATTCAGCAAATGGCTCATTAGGCTTATGGTACTATAGTCTTCACAAACTTTTGCTCCTAGTTTTTTGTGTAATGGTACGCACTCCGATATGAGCCACTCTACTGGTATTTTTCCTGCCTTGTGTATTTCATTAAATATTTCAGTTATTTTTATTTGTTCTGCATCTAATAGCTTCAGCAGTTCTGCAGGAATTTCATCAAGTCCCGGTGCCTTTTCATTCTTTGTTTGTCTGATGGCTGCCGTTATTTCTTCTGGTAGGATTTCGAGACCTGACTTTTCTTCAATGGTGGGTTATTATATTGTTCTAAGGCCGTGGAATAGTTTCTCTAAGTATTCTTTCCATACTTTCTTTTATCTTCTGTGGTTATGACAAGATTGCCATCATGATCTGTCATTTTTCCGCTGTTGCGTTTTCGAAACTTTTCAGCTATTTCCTTCACGTTTCGTTGGACATTGAAGTTATCATATCGACTCTGATACTTATCTATTACTTGACATTGTTCTGTTTTTTGTTTCTCTTATCTTTCTTCTAACGATGGTATTCGTATGTATTCTCTTATATTCTTGGATATTTTTTTTGTTTTTTTTTCTTTGATCCATAAGTTCAAGTATTTCATCGGTCATTCACGATTTCCGTTTCTCTGTATCTTTCTTCAGGTGTTGTTCTTTTATGTATCTCACTGTTTCTTGTATGATGGTCAGTCTTTCCTCTATAATACCTTCTTCTTCTTCTTTGGGTGCCGTGTCCGTATTCAGACGTTGGCCGTCATCATGCTTACAATTTCCTGAAACCTTTCTCTGTCGGCTGCTGCGAGAAATAATTCTTCTACTGTGAAACCACACCATTGTCTAATATTACGCAGCCATGAAAGTTTCTTTCGACCAATTCATCTCTTCCTTTCCACTTTTCCTTGTATTATAAGGCGAAGTAAATGGTATTTGGGTCCTCTAATTATATGGCCGAAGTATTCTGTTTTTCTCCTCTTTATGATGTTTATGAGCAGACGTTCTGAGTTGATCATTTGAAGAACATCTTCATTGGAAGTGTGCGAAACCCACGATATCTTTAGGATTCGTCTATAGCACCACATTTCGAATGCTTCTAACTTGTTTAGCATTGTGGTTTTTAACGTCCATGTCTCACAACCATACAATAGGATCGACCACACATAACATTTCAGGACCTTCTTACGAATGTTCATTGACAGGTTTCTGTTGCATAAAACTGGTTTCCAGGTCATAAAAGCCTTACGTGATATTTCGATCCTGGATATTATCTCTTCATCAGAGTCACAATTTACATTTAACCAGCTGCCAAGGTATTTGAAATGATTTACCCTTTCTATCTCTTCTCCATTAAGAGAAAGCAGACCTTGATATATATGGATCTTTCCAACTGCCATCCACTTTGTCTTTGAAATGTTGATTTTTAGGCCTCTCCGATAACTTGCTTCACTGACTAGATTTAGTAATGTTTGGAGATCTTGTAAACTTTCTGCAAGAATGGCTGTATCATCAGCGTATCTATATTGTTGATTACTTCTCCACTATTCTTACTCCCTCTTGTCTGTCATCCAAAGCCTCCCTAAAGATTTCTTCAGAGTACAGATTAAAAGAGTGGGTGACAAAACACAACCTGCCGTACTCCACGTTTGATGGGTATTTTTTCAGTGGGACTGTCTCCAATTTGGATAGAGGCTACTTGATTGTAATATAAGTATTTCAGCAGTCTTATATCATAGTGGTCAAGTCCTGCTGCCCGTAGGCAGTCGAAATGTGTATTGTGTTGGACTCTGTCGAACGCCTTCTCGAAGTCAATGAAACAAACATAAACATTCTTTCAGAATTCACAACTTTTTTGTAATAGAACGCGCATACAGAATAGTGCCTCTCTAGTTCCTAGACCGTTTCTAAATCCAAATTGCTTATCACCCATCTTACTTTCGCATAGAAGGAATACCTGCATTTCTGTATTTTAGCACCTTTTTATTGATGTTTTCACTCACCTTCAGTCGAACATTGGGATTTTTCAGTTTTCTAACATCACACTTCTTCATCGAGTTACTTGCAACCTTCTTTATTCTGACTTTGAAATTACCTCCAACTGGTACATGATCAGAATTTATGTCTGCACTCGGATATGTTTTGACAGATGTACAGCTGTTCCTATACATCTTATTTACTAGCATGTAATCAATCTGATTTCTTACAATCCTTCCCACAGAATCATATGGAGATTTCGAGGTGTACAGTTTACTTGGATGTAGCTTAAACCAGGTGCTCATTATTACTAATTGATTTGGTTCCGCAAAAATCTCCAATGTATCTCCCCGATCGTTCCGGTTTCCTAGTCCAAATGGTCCAACTGCAGATGATATTTTGCTGGCCCCAACTTTGGCGTTGGAGTCACCCATGACAATTGTTGGGTCTTGCTTTTTCAACCTTTTATTTTGTCCCTAACACTGTTTAATGTTTACTTGGACCTGTTATTTAAAATGGCACTTGAGAGGCGGCCATATGGAATAAAAATCAACGGAGAAATCCTTAACGTAATTAGATACACGGACGATACAGTAATTGTGTTAGAAAATATGAAAGGTCCTCTCTGCTTCATTCTATTCACGAAGTAGAAGAGGAAATGGGTATTAAAATAAATTCAAATAAAACCAAATTTTTAATCCTTAGCCGTAACCCACATCCAGATGCAGAGCTTAAATTAATTAGAGCCACAAATTTAAAAACTTCACAAAATTACATATTTGGGAACTGTCATAATGGACCAACTAGATCCAGATATAGAAATAAAAGCAGAATATCAATGACTAAAGCTACTTTTATGAAAATGAAGACATTTCTTTGCAATAAGCATCTCAATTTAGAACTAAGACAAAGAATGGTTGAGTGCTACATTTGGTCTGTACTTCGTATGGAGTAGAAGTATGTACACTAGAATATCAAGCATGGACAGAATTGAAGCATTTTAAATGTGGATTCATAGATGAATGCTAAAGATACCTTAGACAGCAAGAAATACTAATGAGGAAATACTAAGGAAGGCCAACAAAGATAGAGAATTGCTAAAGACCGGAAAATGTCTTATCTTGAACATATAACGACCATCGATGATATGGCACGTAAAGAAGAAGTTAGAGTATGCGTAGAAACTTCTTGGATACTTCTCAAGAATTTCTCAGGAACGGTCCTACTAGGTGAAGTGAATTAATCCCTGCACTTCATAAATTCCCGCAGCTTTTTGTCCTGGAAAGGCTTTCTGGCATGGAAAGCTAGCACCTGTCGAGGGATGCAGACAAATATCATAACGGCAGTGAAGAAGAATTAGATAGAAGTGGCAGCTCTTTTTCTGGAGATAAATACATAAACCTAAGGGAGATTGAAACTTGAAGTTCAGAAAGATAACCAACCTAAAAGAAGAAACCGTTGAAAAAATTATCGTGTCTCTGTAAACAAAGTATCGTAAAATTTTTTATAAACCAAGATCTTTCTACTTTTTTTTATTTCTAAAGCAATAAATGTTCTGCGTTAGATTTCATTCCAATAGTCTTGTTCTGATTTTCAAGTCATTGTTAGTAAAACCAGAAGTTTCCGTTGTTTTGAGAATATAATCCAAAGCATTTTTAAGTAAATCTTTACTTTTAGTTTACAAAAGTCTTCTAAATTTAAATATTCGAAATACAACTTCTATAATTTTAAAACATTATTGTTTTAGGAGAAGTATCATCTGCACCTCCATCATATAACGAAGTTAATGGATATCTACCAAAATACGAAACGAAATAAATAAGACCTGTTAAACATTTGGTTATTGGCACAAAAGGATTATAACTTATTTTATAAATATGTAATTGTGCAATTTGAATATGAAACTATTTTTTATGGGGACTAATAAAAATATTTATTTTTATAAATAAAATTTACTCGGAAGACTTACTCATTTCTGAATCCTCTTTTGCACCATTTTTTTTTGTTTTATTATCTGGATCATGACCGATGAGTCATTTGTCGTACGGCTGTTTGGTGATTTACCGATTAAGCATGCTAAAAGTGTATATGTGTGTATGTGTATCAACATGTATGTGTTAAATCAACAAATTTAATTACAATTTAAAGTTAATAAACCTATTCGTGCAGTTCCTATATTGTGTTCTTAGTTGAACTGCAGGTGTTTATTTGGTTAAACCTATTCACATTTGTTCGATAGTCTTATATAACATTAGGAGCTTCCTTATTAGATATTAGGACGTGCTTAAAGTCAAACACATTTGCCTATTGTATATGTACTGTTACGCTAGCCCTTGCTACGCCCATAATCGAAACTTCTTAGCATTCGGAGAAGTTCTACCGCTGTCCTTACGTCATCACGTCATGAGAGTTCCAGAACCATTTCTAAGAATTAGCCGGAATAGCTCAACAATATGTATGAGATAAACTTAAATTCACAGATCAATCACTAACTTCTTCTAATATAAAAATGTTAAAAGACCTCCAATGATCGATTGGAGTTTGTTTATCATTATAATCAACCTCGTTGCCAGCATGATCCACTCAACAAATAAAAACAATGAGTGATTTTACTTTTCTTTATGCAATACAGTACATACAATGCCTCTTGCACCATCTTTATTTCCATAATATTGTTCTGAAGCTATTTTCTTGTGGCATTGTAAATTAATTACTATTAAACTGGGAATAAGCCACAATTAAAGATATTAATACGTTTATTGATGTTTCAATTTCCACTTCGGAAATCTTTCTCAAAATACAAACAGTAAATTAAACAAATTTTGTATTTTGTTACATAGTGAAAAATTCTTCTAATAATTTAATTTTATCTGACTCATTCATATTGACAATTCAGACATACATTATGCATTTTAAAGTAGACGACTTTAAAATGATATTGCCAATATTGTTGAGTTGTGCTCCTGGGACGACTTTACTTATAAGATAGTTAATATTGTCAACAATATTGGCAATATCATTTTAAAGTCGTCTACTTTAAAATGCATAATGTATGTCTGAATTGTCAATATAAATGAGTCAGATAAAACCAAATTATTGGAAGAATTTTTCACTATGTAACAAAAAACAAAATTTGTTTAATTTACTGTTTGTATTTTGAGAACGATTTCCGAAGTGGAAATTGAAACGTCAATAAACGTATTAATATCTTTAATTGTGGCTTATTCCCAGTTTAATAGTAATTACTTTATTTCCATATTATCGAAATAGTTTATTCACTTAAAAGGCCTTTTGATGCCATTATATATTGGTTTTGGTGCATAAATAAGGCTGAATTAATAAAACACCATAAGAAAAAATCTAACAAGGTCAAATCGCACGATCTCGGTGGCCAATTCACATTATCTCCACGCGAGTTAAAATCATCATCCATTGATGTCAATATTATTCAATTCAGGCCAAATGGAAGTCGGTAGTTATCAATCTAAGCTTCCCCATTAACGATTGTCAAAGCAATATGAACCACTAGCCAAAATACACACTAAACAGTGACTATTTTGAGGTGTATTGGACGCTTTTAGATCTAAACTGGATTGATATTTCAAATTTAGCAATTCGGTTTGTTAACGTACCCATCATCCAAAAATAACCTCATCAAAGAAGATGAAAATTAGGGTCATTTTCTAACTGCTTCAGAGCTCGTTCTATTGTCTATATTTTTACCTTTAGCTCAGGGTTCGTTCAAGTATTACGTAAAAAGATTAATTACAATTATTTATCCTGTCCTCCTTGTCAGCAAAGGGGGTAAGCAAAGCTATCCCCCATGTTACGTAAATATTGTATACAGATATGTATTGTGCGTTTAATGTAGTCTGTTTTATTATTGATTCAAGAGCAGCAGTTATAATTCTAGAAATAAGAAAATATATTTAGGATAGAGGACTTTTACATATATAATATTCAATTAAACGAACTTTATTGACATGGTATTCAACATATATGGAATAAGGTATAAGTACAAATATAATAATCGTAAGTAATATTACAAACAAAACAAACTTCTTTTAAAGTTTTGGTATACATAATTCCAATAACAATCTTCAATCCATGACAACATTAAGTTTTCGATGATATTAGATTTTTGCTGAATTAATATACGATAAAAATTGGTCGAGTTGCCTGTTCACTTCATAGTCATATTGAATTTACAATAGAAACAGAACAAAATCAATGCATACATTTTTTAGATTTAAAAATTAGCATACTTCAAAACAAACATGACTTCTCCATATTTCACAAACCTACCCATACTGACACGACTATACACAATTCATCATCCCATCCAACACAACATAAACTGGCAGCATATCATGGTATGTTACATAGATTAACAGAAATTCCGATGTCAAAATTCAAATTCGAGACAGAATTAAATATAATTAAGCAAATAGCAGTAAACAACGGATACAATGAACAAACAATTAATAAAATGTTAAATCAAAAACTATACAAGAAGCCCTGAAATTAGTATTTCCACCACCAGAGAAAAAACCCAGTACCTTCTGTTCGATTATTTACATATACAGGCAAAATTACAACAAAAATAGTCAAACACATAAAAAAGAAAGGAATAACACCAGCTTTCCGAACAAATAACAATCTAGGCAAATATATCAAAAACAACAAGAGCCAAAATAAAAAACACTTACCCAGTGGTGTGTACAAACTTAAATGTGGCGACTGCCCAAAAACTTACATCGGTCAAACTGGTAGAAAATTTAACAAACGAATAGCAGAACATAAAAGGGCTTTCAATAATAGAAAAACAGATTCTCCATACGCACTTCACCTTCTAGATCACAATCATTCTTTTAACGACGAATTTAAAATTCTTCAAATTCAAAATAAAGGTCTTAAGCTGTCCTTGTTAGAATCTACGGAAATCAACAAATTAAAAAACACAGATATAATTCTGAATGACCAACTTGAGACAAACAGTTCTCCCCTCCTTAACCTATTTCATTAGAGACTATAAAGTGTAAACACATGCCAAAAATAGATCACTTGAGAAAGGCAATCAGCCGAAAAAGCTGTAGTGATAAGAGTTAAAATAAATTTTTGTGGAAGTTTGAAAACAAAGTTTTCAGTGTTTTATTGTTACATAAAATGAATTTCCATCAAGTAACGGTCGAATTCATCACTTTTTTATGAGCATTTTCGATGTTTACTAACTTAACGGAAGCATGATAAAGACCACACGTTTTGCATGTCTCAATTTTCTTCTTCACGTGCCATCTCCGCGACGGAGGTTGGCAATCATCATGGCTATTCTGATCTTAGATGCTGCTGCTCTGAATAGTTCAATTGATGTGCATCCGTACCATTCCCTCAAGTTCGTGTGTGAACCATTTGAATCTAGAACAACAGATTTTGAATTAAAATAATTATTGTAACATATGTATAAGGGCAAAGTGGCACGTTTCCATTTTATCCACAAACGAATTTTACCCATGCCCTCCCTTAATACAAATCATGAATTCTAGTATAGAATTCATGGTTTAGGGTAAACTGGTCCATAGTGGGACGTTTTTTTTAAGCGTATAGCACCTTTATTAAGAGTTTGTAAATTATAGTAAGGGTACCTATGCATGGGTATGTAAGGAAGCAAACTAATAATAATTTCAAGTAATCTTTTATTTACAATAAATGTTATTCAACAAGTCCCACTATGGACCACTCGTCCCACTATGAACCACTATATGGTCCATTGTGGGAATCATAGTGGTCCATAGTGGGATTTTTAATAAAAAAAACTTTTTTACTCTATTATAAATTGGAAAAAATTCACAGGGAACATAAACTGGCGAGCAGCCCAAGTTGTACTTCCACTAATGGCAGGAGGGGGCAGCTTTAGTAAAATATCTTCTACTTCTACGGTATCTACATCGGGTTTGTTTGTTTTTTGTTTGTCATGTATCTTACTATAATATAGTCATAACTTTGAATAGACAAATCTTGATTTTCTGATGTGAAGCTTTCTAAGTCGCTAAAATCGTTACAAATCTCTTCACTAACATCACTGTTCGAACTAATGTCGTCATTAAAAACTTGACGTTTAACTTTTTTAGCCTTTTGCTTTTTTTCTTCTGAAAGTGATTTTTTAGCCAATCTTTCTTTATGCTGTTCCTCTATGGCATCTTTTATGGAGGTGTCTGTTATTATTGCTGACTGTAGCTTCTTTCTGCTTCTCCTAAGGTTTTTTTCCTAGGAGCAGCTTTGGCATGTGGCCTAATTTGCTAAGAGGTTGTTATGTTGAATGGGCCATTAATTGGGCTGACATGTCGTGGTTCTTTTACATCGTGAACATCTACATCCTGAACATCTTCTACATCCTAAATACCTTTGTTAGCCTTATATTCTTTACCATTTCCATTTTCCTTTTCTTCGGACCTATCAGTGACATAAGATGACATAAAATCACTCTCTGAAAAAATTTGGGAATTCAGGAGTGCTATGCCTGTTTTTATAAATCCGTTGAGAAGTTGACAGGAGTGAATGCTTTAGGGTAGGCGGTACCAACAACATTACAAACATCATAAATGCTCCTAGGTATGGCAGAATGATTTAGCATCCAGTCATCAACTCCTTGGTTATAATAGCTTTTAAATGGAAAGAAGCAGCTCACGTCGAGCTGTTATAATTTATGACTGCAATGGGTTGGCAATGTCAATAAAATAATCCCATTATCTTTATACAGTCCGTCCCAAACCCTTCTTTCAGTGCGTCATAGTTGTTCGAATTCTCTCTAACGCATTAAGCTAGAAGTGACAGAAAAAAACGTGAGTCGCTGATTATTATACATAGAACTTAGAAAATTAGGTATCGTTCACGGGTATTCGCATATT